AAAGATGATTCAGATAACTGAAGTACAGAACTTGAAAAGGGAAGCGAAGTACAGACACAAGGAGTTTTTAAAGGAGCGAAGGTTAGTAATTACTATGTGCCAATAAATTTAAGTGGGTAAAGTCCGATTAATTGCGCCAAAAGTGACACAGAAAGAAACAGAGAACCTGAGCAGATCAATTACTGTGAAAGAGGCCAGAAGGGCAGACATTTGCCTCCTGGAAAACAGCAGGTGCAAACATTCTACAGTGAGTCTTAACCAAACTTGAGGAACAGTTAATTCCTGTTTTATACAAACTGTTCCAGAAAAGTAAGAAACAGTTAAAAAGTGGCCAGTATATTGCAGGTAATCTCACTCTAAAAATCATATACTGATAAGAAAATAAAAGGCTCCTTTAGCATGATACAAAAATTCTACATTAAATATTACCTAAATAAACCCCAGTCTATTTTTAAGATAACAACATATCAAGTTAAATAGGATTCAGTCTAGGAATTCAAGGATGATTCAGTATTTGCAGTAGATTTAGAGGAGAGAGTGCAGATGATAATCTCAAAACCAATGAAGAATCTGCATCACAAAGTTCAGCAAAGGGTAAAGCTATAAAGTGAATGAAAGATTACCTAGGAGACTATCTTCACGATCTGTACCAGGAAAATCCTAAAACCCATAAGGTACTGGTACATTTTGTCACATTAAAAATAAAGATTCCTGCTCAATGAAAGGCAAAGTTAACAAATTACTAAGTGATCACATGGGAGAGCATCCAAAATGCAACAGGGTTTATTCTAGGAGAGGACAGATAAGAAATTCCAGAGCCTTCATAGCACAATGGGCAAATGACATGAAAAGGCAACTCACAGAATTTAATTTAAACTGCAAAAATTAGAAGGCCAGATAATGCTGGCTGTTGCCGGGAATGAAGAGATGTGAGAAGCCTCACACTAGGCTAGCGGAAGCAAGGGGTGGTGCAATCAACTGCTTTGGGTCCAAATCTCAGTGAGTACTTGCTTTGCTGTATCCTGTACAGAGATTTCTTTGGGGGACTTCACCAGGAGGGACAGCTGGCCCAGGACGGGCTCTGAGCCCTAGGACACTGCAGTCCGATCGTTTCTGGCAGAGTCAGGGCTGATGCAGGCAGTCTAAAGGATCTGGAAGCAGAAATTCCCACTGTCTCCTTCTGCTCAACACAGATTTGACAAGGTTTTACTTTTGTTTAAAAAAAAAAAGTTTTTTTAAATATTGGTACAAAACACACCCAAATTGTGGTCGATGGGAAATTACTACATATTTAGTTTTCGATTAATTTTTAAAGCAAATATGGCTGCCTTCTAGCTGTGCTGCGGTTACACATCACACAGAGCTGGTAACAAAGCAGACGGGAACTCGATCTCAGAACATGGAGCCCCCAGCAGTGGAGAAAAGACAGCGGGCTCCAATAGAGGACAATCAGGAAGGAGGTTCTTGGGGTTTCAGTAACCCCAAAGTACCTCAGAAAAAGAACCACATGGGCCAAACAGAAACGCAGTTACTTTTTATCTAAAGTAAAAGAACTTGGAGGAGGCACTGGGTGGGTCTGGGTGAGGGCTCTTCCTGACTCCTGCAGGCCAGGTGGGCAGACCCCAGAGGACAGCAAAGGCCTGTTCAAACCTCAGAAAGGGTTCTTCCAGATTCTCCCTTCAGAAAACAGTTGAGGTTCACCAGGAAACAGAAAAAGAGAAGTGAAAGGGTGGCTGGCTCTCTTCAAACGCAAGTCAGTCACTGGATCCGAGTAAAGACTTGTCTCCACCAGGAAACCTCTGGCAGACCCTTTTGGAGGGCAGGAAGTGCACATCACAACCTGGTTAGGTCATGACCACCAGGGCGCAGGAGCCAGGGCTGTTCTTCAGCCGGGGCTGAGACATATGGAGCTACTGTATCACTTGCGCGTGATCCTTTTTATCTTCTGGCGTTTGCTAAACACGCAATTGTTCCCTAAAACATGGGTGTCGAGGCACGTTCACTGGGGCTGTCCCATCTCTACACAGATGGCAGAGTCCTGTGCTGACTGCTACCACCTGCAAGTGTTAAGGGGTAGCCCAAAAGGTCGCAGGATGCCCTCAAGAGGTGCCAGGGCTGCGGCCCACTCTCACCAGGGCCTGAGG